CAGCGTGTGTGGAGGACATAAGTACAGCAGACAGTAGCTGTGTAACTGTCAGCGTGTGTGGAGGGCATGAGTACAGCAGACAGTAGCTGTGTAACTGTCAGCGTGTGTGGAGGGCATGAGTACAGCAGACAGTAGCTGTGTAACTGTCAGCGTGTGTGGAGGGCATGAGTACAGCAGACAGTAGCTGTGTGTGTGCGGCGCACAAGCCACCTCTCTCTGGATCCAGTAGCTGAAGAAGCTCCGTGTTGTCACAGTGCTCCAAAGCCAGCAGCAGCAGCTTGAAACAGTTGGATCTGTCTGACCTTTTGAGACACTCCACCAGCTTCTCAGCGGCTGCAATGTGGCCTTTTTGTTCATCAGTCTCAGGAAAACAGGAATATGAGCAACTATAAAAACATGCATCTACCATTTCATTTAGAGATGACACACCACAGCACACAACAACGAAATGTGTCCTCTGCATTTAACACCTATGTGACATTGTGACATGCAGGGGGCAGCTAATTCAGCGCCCGGGGAGCAGTGATTGGGGACGGTACCTTGCTCAGGGTACCTCAGTGGTGCCTTGCTGGTTGGGGATTAGAACCAACTATCTTTCAATTACAAATGTGCTTCCCTAACCATCAAGCCACCACTGTCCACATAGACTTTAGTCTAAGTGTTTTTTTAATTCATTAAATTCCAACATTTTACTGTACAGTATTACAATAGTTGTATCTACTCACGGCTCTGATTTCCTCGACTTCCCGGGACACAAAGCAGTCTGTCATACGTGTGATGATTTCACAAGGTTTTATTTGTTTAGTGAAGGAGGCTTCAATCCGTTCCAGAAGTTTCTTGTATGTACTCATTCGTTCAATTTCTTTAAAGTCCCACTCTTTGATGGCATTATAAAGGCCATTATACTCTGAAAAACAAGCAAAATGTCATTCCCGTCCATGTTTCATGGCCCTAGGGAAAGGCTGTCATTATGTGAATCCAGGGAAACATCTGAATTAGTCAATATTCAACTGACATCCTAACTGTTTTCAAAGACTCAAAACCACACAGGCAAAGGAAGATGATTCTACACACGGAGCAGAAGTCACATGAAAAATGTCAGATGTCCTTATAACACGTGAGATATCGTGTTTATTATGCTACATGTGGTGTGTCTCTCTTCCTCTTTGAGATGTTCTTGCATACCTCCTTCTAGCAGAGCATCCAGAAAGCCCTGGAACCAGCCCATCTCTTCAAGGTCGCACATCTTCCCCAGGAGCAATTCTGCAGCTGTGGTCACAGACCTGTTTTCCTCTGACAAAATTCTCTCCACTACAGCTGCAGATCACAAGGTGTACATTTTTAAGACACAAAGCTCACAATATACATTATCAGAGTTCACTGCCCCCTGAGCATGTGAGTGTATGCACCATAATCAGGGAAGTAGCTGAGGGAAGGGCCAGTTTAAAACAGCGAGCCCACAGAAAAGCCAATGCACATTTATGTGCATGCTATAGTGCCCTCCACTCCTCAACAAATGTCTTTAACAGTTCTGTTTACTCAGTAGTATTAATTCTGACCTTTAGTATATATGAAATACAATGTTTTTATATGCATATATGTTCTGTTACAGAATGCATTTTCCTTAGTGAAAGCAATAATAAGTTAACAAACCTGTCTCCAAATACGTCGTCAGGAATCCCTTGATGTTGGAAGGACGTATTATTTGCACAATGTAATTTCTAAATTTCTTTAGGTTTTCTTTTTCGTCTTCGTACATTTTAGCTTATTGCCACTGTACTGGTTTAACTGAAGTCAGTAAACTATGTTAACGAGCTACAGAGCGCAGTGCCTATTTAAAATGCACCAGCTTCCTGGTTTCGTTTCACAGGGACGCTTTCCATTGAGGAGAATCGAAAGTGAAACTAGAGTCATGGGACACCTAGCGCTCCAACCTTCCAGTTACTAATGAATAGAATGAGGAGAGCCTGGAGCCTGTCCCAGGCAGGACAGAGCAGTGAGAGAACCTCCCTGGGACGTCATTCAATCACAGGGCGTACACATGCACACTGTCACGCGCACAGGGTCTGTGGACCGCGGGAGGAAAACTGCAGGACACTGGGATGCCAACTGTACACGCACCGAGCGGAAGCGATGTCCATGAATACAACACGTAGTCTTCTGCGATTTGACGATATTATCATAATCGACGATAACGAACAAATAACCAGAGGTTGTTGCCTGACCTTTGTCGGAGAAGCAGGCCTTGGCAACATACAAAGCAAGGCAACTAATGGATTTATGATGTGGTGTTCGGTTTAGCCTTGTAGCTTACGTTTAGAACACAGTTTTAAATATAAAAAAAAGGAAAAAAAAGTTTTAAAAATCAGTATTATTAACTCTTTAACTTTAACAGAATCCTTAAAGTTTGTAAACCACGGCTTTATATGGTTTTAGATGGACCGTGAGATGTATTAATTATCCGGACCACCGACACATCGTTTCCCTCAAAGACAAAATTATGTGACCCTTCCACAATCTTTCGGCTTGGTGCCGCGTGCGTGAATTCACGGCGCAAGGAACGAGTCCCTTACAGGAACTATATACTCACGTTCCTTTCTTTGCAAATATTCGTCCTTTTAATTCTTCCGCTTGTCCTCATAAATAAGACAGGAATGCTGCTTCGCTCTTCTACTATACCTAGTGAGGCATGTAAGGGCGTACTGTAAACGAGCATATTATTAGCTGGGAACGAAACCTGGAACTGACTGTATATACACCTGTAGTGAACTAAAGACCGAGAGTTTCTCGTTTAGTGATAGAAACTCCGGATCTTTTTAGTGAGCCTGATCATTTGGCTGTTCATTGATAAGACCCGGCTCTTTCGGCTCCCTATTTAATTAAGCCGAATTTAGCAATGTTTCGACGCATGTCATTTAATTACTCAGTGTATTTATACATTTATAATGCATTTATTCCATGCAGCTGAATCAGTCCAATCATGTAAGTTGCTAGCAGATGTTGGGAAACGCACCCCTGAACAAGAAACCTGAAGGACTGAACGAGTTCGTGAGCGAGTCAGTGAACAAGAGACTCAGGCTACTGAACGAGAAAACCGCACCTTGGTCGTGATTCAAATACACCATCTACTGGTGTAGTTTATTACCTACATGTGCATTGACTTCGCATATGCAATTTAATTTTAGAGATGCAACATTTTCACGATCAGAAATGATTTGAACCAAATTATATGTTAGCGTTTGGACTCGTCAGCAGACCGTGTCCAGCTGTTAGGTTTGCTTTTGTAACAAACATGAATAGCTAAGGTACAATGTTAAGACTAAATTACATTTCAATAACAAATCAGACATCCCAACTTTCGGGAAGCCCCCTGCAAATTAACAGCAACTTCCTGAAGCCCGCAAATGATGGGCAATGTCCCGGAAATCTGCTCTTCCACTATTCAGTGGTGGGAAAATTAGCAGGCAAGTTTTACTGCTGTTTACCGCTAGATATTTTAGCACCACTAGCCCAAGTCAGGAGATTTTGCCTGACCGCTCACCCCTGTCAGTAGTACCATAACAGCAACACTGGGCTCCCGGATGACTCTCTGAAGACAGTATCCTTATTTCAGCAAATACTAGTATGTGTGGGGGAGGGGGTGGTACTGGAAAATTCTGTATTATCCCGCTATTTAAATGAAACTAAAATAATGCATATTATTTTGCAGACATTGCCCAAGCATATGGTTACAACTATGGGTCCCATTTCAGCTCCTTAATTCTGATCTAGTTTTAAAAAAAAAAAAAAATGGGACAAATCAAAGGTAAAACACAAAACTCTTTGTTATACAGCAGTATTACTTTCTCTACTAATTACAATGGGAAATAACTCACAAACATTTTTGGCCCCCTCCCAGCGCACCGGACACCAAACAATTAAGCAATCAAGAACACCAGGTGTGCTGGGGGGGCGATTAAATAAGGGAGCAGGTCCACCTTGATCCTTGAAGCCACAGACAGCAGTGCATGGGCACCAAGAAATGGTTTGGATGACGACGAAAATGCAGTAACATAACACAGTGACTGTAGCAAGACTGAATGCAGCTCCTGATCTTCAAATGAACACCCTGCAAGCAGAGACTTAACACTCATAGGTAGAAAAGCTGAATAAAGGTGCTGTGGTGAAGGAATGAAGAAAAACCAGACTCCCTGTTCCTGAACACACATGCAGTACAAAACTAATGATTATACTGAAGTGAAACATTACACCTGTATGCTAAAGGGTTCGATAACTGCAGTAACGTACACAATTATCACAGAGGCTTATTACACGAGGACCAAAAAAAGGCTAAAAGGTATCAAAGTGTTTTCCACTTTCAGATAATGGCACTTTTTTGAGGTGCTGACTAGAATAACAAATTCAGAATACACAAACAAGTCTTTGAGACCAGTATTTTACTGCATAATGAAAAGCTTTGGGATACCTTGTTTTCAAATAGGCATAGATGAAATTCAAGTGTATGGCTGACCAGTGCATCCTATTTTTACACCTGAAGAGGGAAATATCCAAAATACAAAAGAAAAAAAAAAATACATTAAAATTTTCAAAAACTAATAATACATTTTAAAACAGGAAAAAGGATGGGAATGTTGGGGAATCAGGCAAATGTTATTTTGAATCATTTATTGAGATTCACAACAAAAATCTAATAATGTCTATTTCAAGGCTCTCATCATCAGGATTTTTAATATTGTAGTTAGCAACACAAAATGCTCAAATACTCCCTAGATGAGCAAAATTCACCATCAAGATGTCTGACCAGATCCTTTATTGATGCTGAACTGCAGAACAGTTTGTCAAGTTGACTTGTGGGTGTGTGGTATCTGCCTTCCCTTTTCCCTGAGTAGTACAGCACATCAACATACTATAAACATGTGTGGAATGGTAGGTTAAATCAGTAACTCCTCTTAAATATTAAAAGACAGAGAATACACTGTCACATAAATAAAACAGCACTGGACAGACAGGTATCCAAAGCTCAGCGTCTTAAAAAAAAAAAAGAGAGGCTCCTGCATGTGTCACAAGCTGCTGTACAGTATCAGGGTGTTTTTATAATCCAGCTTTAACCACCAATGTCCCACAGAACACAAGCCCTCAGAGATGAACAGGCATGTTTAAAGAACAGACCTGACAGAGTCTCAGAGGCAGCAGCTGGCTACATTAGAGTCCGTGGAGTTTAACGACCTGCCCTGTTCTGTGATCGAGGACACGCCAGTGCTAGTGTCGCCCCCCAAAGGAACAGGCCTCTCGTCCCTCTCCATCTGCAATGTTTCATCTTTATTGCCTTCAAAGTTGACTTCAGAGTTCAGAATGTCCATGCTGCTGTTCGTGTCGATCGACATGACATGCTGTTCCAAGTCCTGCAGAATGGACTCCAACAGGCTTGTGTCGCCGGGAAGAGCTGTACTGTCAGGGGGGTGGCTTTCCATACTGGTAGGGGGGACCAGGCTGGTGTCAGCATGGTCACTGTCGCTGTCGATGGTGATGACCGTGGGCGAGCGCTGCGGCAGCCTCTCGGCACTCCGGTGCCGCCGGCTCTTCCTCTTGTGCTTCTTCTTCTTCTTGTGGTGCCTCCTGCTCTCTCCCGTGGCTCGACCTTCAAAGATGATCTCGACGCTTGGGCTGCGACTCTTCCTCTTATGGGATTTCTTGTGGTGCCGTTCGCTGCTCCCCCGTTTCTCCCTGAGGCTTGAGGAGGACGATGCATGTCTGGAGGAGCGCTCCTTGGAGGTGTCCTCCAGGTGCCTGGTCTTGTATTTCCTTTTACCCCCTGGCTTGTCATCCCGGGAGCTCCGGTACAATGAGCAAGAGCCACGCGAGCTTATGCTGGACTGGCTCCTGGACCGACTCCTGGAGCGCCGCCGTTCCCTGTGGTGGGATTCCCTGGGACTCCCATGTCTTTGTGAATGTGCACCATAGCTGAGGTTTGAGTACAGACTGGAGGACCAGGACCTGTCCTGCCCATAGCCTGCGTCAGTCCTCTCCCGCTCCCGGCTGTAGTGCCTGTATAACTCCCAGCCGTAGGAGTATGACCTGTCATGACTGCGTCTGGACCGACTGTGGTGTTTGTCCCGTCTCCGTGTCCGTGAGCCATCTTTGTACAGCAGCTTCTCCCTGCTGTGGGACCTTGAGCACCTTCTGTCTCGTGAGAGTGTGCTATCACTGTTCACAGAGACTGTCGGGCTTCTCACTGACCAGCTCTGCTCCGTGCTTCTCGAGCGCCTGCTATGGCTTCGACGTGACCTCTCCTTACTTCCAGATCGACTGACTCTCTGGCGCCTCTTATCATCCCTGCTAGGAGTATGTGTCTCAATCACCTGATATTTGTCCCTACTGGAGGCACCATCTGTGCCCATTTCAGAATAATCCCCTTTAGAAGGTGAGCACCTATGCTCAGGGTCCGAGGGGGTCCAATTTGGCCGGTCCAGCCCAGAGCTCCCAGCTGACAGCTCCCGCCTTTGTGGGGACTTGTGTTTGGACACAGAGGAGCATATTGATGATGGAGGACTGAGGCTGGGGAAGCGAATGCTCTGGGACTCCTGAGGGACATCTGTACTCTCAGGCTGAACAGACTCTTCGGAATCGGAGGACAGCTGCACCAGCTCTGGTGTCCTCTCTGCCATGGGCTTCACATAGCCCACGATGACACAATCGTCTTCCCCTGAAGAGACCTCCCCGTTATTGTTTGCAGTCGGATCATTCTTCACCTGTGTATTTTGCTGCTGAGCGTTTCTGGCCTCCGTGGGCCCCTCCCTGCTGCTGGCAGACTCCGACTCGCTGGTGGATGCCATGGGCGCCTCTGTTTGCTCTGTGGTCGAATACGATGGCCCCGGGGTCTCGTCATCCCAGGGAGCCTGGCTTAAAGTGCTGCCCTCTGCAGGTCTGGGCTGCTGGCTGAGATCCACAAAATTGACCTCGTCTTCGGAGATGGCGATGACAGAGGAGTCGGAGCTGCTGCCCTCTTCATAGGACGGTGCAGGACAGTCATAAACAGCTTGTTGGTCGTAGGCCTCCATATTAAATGGGGACCTGGCAAAACTGATAAACTCATGCAAGAAATGATCGGTACGAGTCAACAGGAAGGGCCGCAGTTCATCCTGGATAGCCTGGTCCTCCATGTTGTAGCGGGTGATGCGAGACATTATGATATGCTGCACGATGTTGACCAGCGAGCCATGACTGCCGTAGAGCACAATCAGCTCCCGCCGCAGCCAGGGCAGCAGCCGGTGCAGGCACGCCGGGTTCCTCTGGAAGAAGGTGGCTGAGATGTCCCTGTAGCGGCCGCCGTCACGCACGCTACGGACCCGCACCCCCGTGCGATACAGTGCACGCCGGAATGACACCATCTCCTGCTCGCGTAGGTGACGCGCTGTCCTGCCCTCGCTCTGGGCTCGTCGGCGTGCAGCCATCACGGACATCACACGGTGAAACGCAGTGTCCTGCTGCAAGGGCACAGTCGCCGCCAGCCCTTCAAGAACGCCCACGTTCTCTGGGGGGGGCGACGCCCTCCTCTGGGACTGCCTGCGATCCCACGTCTGCGTGGTGCGGTACCTGAACCTGCGGCCCTCTGGGCTGCCAAAGGAGCCGTTTTCTGTAGGCCTCAGCACAAACTCCTTAAAGTCATTCTCAGCCTTGATGGAGTGGAAGATGGAGTTGAAGGGTTGCTTGCATAGAGGACATTCCGCTTTGTTCTTGGACCACTCGTGGATGCAGCGAAAACAGAACTTGTGCAGGCAGCGGTCGAGGTAGGCCATATTGTTAAAGCGATCGAGACAGATGGGGCATTTGGAGTCCGGGGAAGCCTCTGTCGACACAGCCTGAGACACTTTGCCTGCTCCATCCTTCTTTCGCATCCGCAATTTCATTTTTGTGGGAGCCATTATCTACAGATAAATTTAAATAAAAGAAAAATCACCATTACAAAATGAAAAGTGACCTTTTCACCCCTTATTTAAAATAGAACAGAAAAGCGGGAGGAAAAACATTAATATGCTCAAGCAGCAGTTTGCCTGTAACAGTAGTCAAATTAAAATTACTGCTGTTTTTACTCTAAAACTTAAATATAGTGGGTAATGTCATAAACCAACAAGTCTTAAGACCTAATGTTAAATGACAGCTGAAATTACGTTTACTTTGTCTTTAACGACATAATAGGATTTCTGAAAATACGCTTCGATCACTAATCCGCGTTACTGTACTCTGAGGTAGTTTCTAATTTCCCCCGCGGTTAATAGTGATGGGTAACGGTTAATGGTGCTCAATAACGGGTATTAATAGAGAATATTAAGGGTTTTATGCTTTCCTTCTGACCCCGCGGTCAAGCCCGTGCAGGAGACCCGCACTGGCCAGGAGTGCTGCTGGTATTATTGGGCGCGAGGGCCGGCATAGACAGCCGTACGAACGGCGCTTAACCGACACCAACCGTAACGGGACATTCCTGTGCTCTTTATCTAACTAGTTAGTACTAGTAACGACGCTCGACTTTTTCGGCCTAGACAGCGAAGCGAAGCTAGGCTAGGCTAGGCTAAGGTAAGGTAAGCCGTGCTAAGCTAAGCTAACGGCCCGCAGTGACACCCACCAGCCGTCCGCAGGGCTACAGATGCTACGGCTACCGCGCTAATCTATCAAGACGGCGAAAGCAAGCGCCGAGACCAGGCGGTAAAGCAGGCGGCCGGGCCTTCACTCCCGGATACCCCTTACCAAGCCCGTCAGGGGAGCCGCCGGCTACACGCACCGGCGGTACCCGGCCCGAAGGACGCCTTCTTACCTGAAACGAGGATTCGAAAAGCTCACGGTATCCGTGAGCCCGGATCCGCCGGACAAAAAGGCCGCAGGTCACGGCCGCCCGGCGGCGAAGTACGCCCGGCAAAGCCGGAAAGCGGTCGGATTAATTCGCTGAGAGCCCGAAGACGACGAACTAGCCGAGCAGACAACATCCCACATACGGAACGACGGACCGCCGCCACAGGCCGCCCGCAGGACCCCGCTCCACTGCTTCGGAACATACGTCCATCACCATCATAGATGGAGTGTGTCAGTAAGACAGCGCCCTCGCATGGCCGGGAGGTCCCATCACAGCTCGCTTTAATCATGCTGCCTGGATAAGTGCTTTGACTACGTGTTGATGTGTGGTGTTTGTCATATTTTGCCATAGTTATTTTCTTTACTTAAAATATGTAGATATCACGTAATTTGTTGATTGCTACGCAGCTGTTTAGTTGGAGGAAGTACTTTTTATGCATTTCATTGCGGGTTTCTGCTGTATATCTGTGTCCAAAGCGTTGGATTCCTGGATCTGTTTCCGGATTTTTGTATTTCGTTTCCTGGGCTCAATCGACCAGATTCTGTACATCCAGCTGGAAACGCGACGGGGCAGGACGATGCGTGTTAGTGTTAGGGCCTTGGACACACTGTACTCCATTGTGAGTAACGTAGGGTATCGATCCTAAGCATTTCACTTATAATCACGACAGACTGTAATGTGCATTTAGGATTAGCCATCATTTTTCTGAACATAAAACGCAGCGAGCATGATCATGATTGCGGTGTCTAATTAGTCAGCGTGAGAAACGTTTAAATGACTTTGAAATGCATTTAAATTGGAATCCATTTAACCCGCTATAAATGTTTTTTCTTGGTGTTTATATATATATTGAACTTTTTTTCTTTTTCCTTTTTATTCAGATTCTACTGGTTGTTGTACTCCTGTCATGGGGATATGTTATTTATGGAACTAGAATAGCTGCAAAATGGCAGCTGGAGAAAAGGCTGCAGGCGCAAGTGTGAACTTTAAACGGGAGAAACAGCCTTTTCTCTTCAAACCTGGCCGCCGCCGGAAGCCTCTCAAGTACCAGCAGCATTGCGATATATGTTCCTAAACATCATTTCATAATTGTATTTTAGATATGTCGTTTTTTTCTTCTTTTCCATTTGCCGGACTTGACCATTTTAATTGTTTTTATTATTATTTTGTGGATAATACAAATGCGTAAGAGTCGTGTTTTTGATTACCTTTTAAATAATGTATTAGCAATAATTCTACAGATAAATAAAACTCTATTCAGATTTTTTGTGACCTAGCTTGCTTGATTACTGAATTTTACTGGCGTAAAAAATACTGAAAACAAGAAGAAATCCTGAATAGCAGACGCGTCGCAGTGTGATGACGTAATTATTTACGCCATTATAGTGAATTGTGCTGGGAAGCGTCCCCTGTTGGACCGAAATAGATGTCACTCTGGCGCTGCTAGCTGGACAGGACCAGAATTTAGTAGTCTGGCCGTTTACATACGAATAATTTTGCTTTTTTTAACCTTACATTTAATAGACAAAAATGAAAGTAAGCTGAATGGTGTTTCATTTGAATACAGTAACGTTCCAAAGTCCATAATAATAAATTAAAAGATAAAAAAAATCGGCAGATGAGGCCACCACCATTGTGTCGTCAGCAAGATTCACAATGCAGGAAAGGCTTGCTAGTGACACTGGTGGTGGGCCTGATCTCCCTACCTCAGTGAGGTGGTAATGATAGATTTTAGGAGCCAGAAGAGGAGGTACACCTGGCTTCAGATCTGTGGGTCCCCAATGGAGAGGTTGAGGTGGTTTAAGCACAGCCAGACAGCGACTCAAGAGGTTTCAAGGTCTTTCCCATCATTTTTACATAAACTG